GCGCCCTCCACATCAAAGCCATCCCTGCTCTAACAGCCGCTCAACACCATCCCAGAAAGCGACAGCAGGAAAACAAAAACCAAACTGCCTCACCTCCCTGCTGCCAATACCACTTCTTGAGACCTCTTAATTAGCTGGCATGCAGTTGATTGAAGAAGCTCAGGGTTTCCCAAATGAGCACGAGAAAACCTTTGGTTTGTCTTTTGATTGCACAGGGCGGTTCCTGAACAGACTCTCCAATGAAGCAGCCCCAGCACCACCAACACAACAGCCAAAAAGAGGTGTCCCTCCGCTCAAAACCTGGGTATTGACTCCCCTGACTGATGGCAGGGAGGCTGAAGAATGGCCGGCGAGTATTGTTGGGCTCACCGGTATAAAAATGATGGGAAGGCCAACAGTATTGCTCTCTTTCCAAAAAATAAAACACACAATAGCTCTGGAGAAAGGAAAGAGGAGGGAATATGCACCAGACAACCCCTAGTACTATGGGAGGTGATGAAATGGATATCCAGTTTTCTGTTATTTTCTGCTTTGGTTTGGGTTTTTTTTGTTTGTTTTGGGGGTTTGTTTTGGGGGTTTTTTGTTTTGTTTTGTTTTTTGTTTTGTTTGTTTTGGTTTTTTGTTTGTTTTTTAAGAATTCAGATGCCATTTCTTTAGGCCTCAGAAAGGGAAATTTCTGATCCATTTTGCAGGTAATTTATGTAGCCAATTACTACCTACAAAGCCTACAACAGGTGATATTTAAGCTCACACATATGAGTTGTTCAGAAACGTATTGTTTATGAACCTTCTTGAAATACCGGAGAAGCTTTAGGTGAACTGAGAATACAATCCATAGCTTTTTTTGAAGGGCTCTTCAGTAGGAAATGTCATTTATTACCATTCTCTCCTCTAAAGAAAAAAACAGGGAGTGTTTTTACAACTTGTAAGCACTAGAGAATAAAAAAACAATAAACAAACAAATTTTACAAAAGTAAAATTAGAAAACCATCCAGTTTATAAAACCTGTTTTGACAACAGTGC